ACACGGATAAAAGGATGAAAGAGGGAGAGAGAAGTAACAAACAGCAGCATGTCAGCCATTTTCTGGTCTCACACGGAGCTCTGACTGAAATCCAAACTCATCATCTATCACCACTAAACAAGGAGTTCGTCCATCTTTAGCCGAACCTGCCCGTATGACACCTGTCACCTCCTGATCTGTGTGTCTGCTGAACACAATTACCGCAGCATTTCCATCAACACACTGCTGTAGCAGTTACACCACAGTGACCTGTAGAGCTGCACAGCCTGAACTGAGAGTCCCGTGCTGATCATCATTAGTGACGTATAAACATCAGGTGGGTTTCACGGTCTAAAGGTCTAAACACACCCCTGACCCTGTGTCCCACCACCTTAATGGAGGGTTAACAGCTACAATCTATATGTGGTGAGCCAGACTATTTTTCTACGGTGGCCCAGAGCAGACCAACACTGACTGTACAAAGAGCCTGTTGTGTTTCTACATACTGTAGGTTCTCTCCTGGTTAGTGGAGAGGGGAGAAAGGGAGATTCATTTGGCTGCAGTTGCCGTCCAGCCACCACTAAATTCATTCACACTGGTCCATCCTGCTAATAAATCCACGGGAGAATCCTTGATTTATATGTGAGTGTTTGAGTTCTCTCATATCTCAACACCTGCAGATCCATTACACTTCAAACTTTCTTGAGATACATTTAAAGGCCGTCAGTGACCACAGTAGGGCTGCAACGACACAGAGACGCAATGGCGCCATTTGTTATGACAACAGTGCGTCACAAAGAGGACTCCGCCCTCTCAAAGCATGCATTCCCCCATAGAATAATCTGCAGATAGAAACGCTGCTGATGAACACAATTTCTTTTCTGATCAGAAATGTGACAAATATGATGCTACTAAATGACGTCCATATAATTAACATCATAACACAGTAGTGACATGGAAAACACATATGATGATGAGAGGACTGAAAAAAAAAACCATTTATTTCTAGTAAATTAATTGTAATATTAATCTAGTAATACAAAAATAATCTCAAGAGAAATTGATAAATTAGTCATTACAATAATTGTACATTCACAAAATCAATCGTTAGATTATTCTATAAAAATAATTCAACTGCATGAGAGTCAGAGCCATGCAGAGAGGGTTTGTGTTCACGCTCCCTCTCAGAGTTTTAGTGTTTCAATGACCCACAGCCGTCAGTGTTGAGTGTGGAGTAGTTTGGATGAGCGGCTGGTCGATGATGTTGAGAATACTGGAGGCTGAGCAGCCAGTCTGATCCACCAGGAGCGTTTTGAACAGGTGCTGCAGCGGCTGATCTAACACCAGGACCTGACTGATATAGAGAACCTGGAGCTTCTGAGGAGCAGGTTTCAGTTTTGATTTGTTGGTTCATCAACCTCACCGATGGTTTACCTGAATGTTTAACTGACTGATTTGTAGAAAAGGTTTCTGTTTAAAGCAGTGGATCTCGGCTCCCAGGACGTGTGAAGCATCCTGACTACAAACTGTTTGATCTTTTCCTGTCATCCTCACAACAACAGCATTCATACACTGACGCATGTCGGACTAATAGTACTGACAACATATTTGAGCTGTTTAAAACTGCAACCAGCCTGTAATCTGGTTTATATTCAGCACCATTTATTTGTAAAACCAATTCTGAGCATCAGTATTGTGTATCATAGTGTCAACAGTAAAACTGGAGCAGTTTAATGTCTGTGACATATTTTTCAGTATTTTATAACCAATACCGTGTATTTCTATTCAAAACATTCTGCCTGGTTATTGTACATTTGATCAGATCATCTGACAGTGAGGGGGACAGGTGGAAGGCACTTACTGATGTTCATGGAATGTCCTCTGTTTAATTACTATACGCAGCACAACATCTTCACAGGAGGAGTCCAATGAACAAAGTTATTTCCAAGCTTTTGGTCTTGTATAGACATAAATGATGAAGTGTAGTATGTGTGGGTTCGGTGTACTGGAGCGGTCTTACCTTCTATAGATGATGTTTTGAGGCGGCGGCAGATTCCCTGCACATCTCCGTAAGTGTCCCGTATCTTGTTGACGGCCTCGGTGCTCCGCAGCTCCATCAGGCTCCTCAGTTCCGTCACGGTCACCCCAAAGTCCCCGTCATGGTTGCCCTCGGCAACCGAATTCCCCGGAGGGTGGTCTGCTGTGTCGTTGGCCATGGTAGTCCTCTTCACAGCAGTAAGGTTCCTCTGAGCGTCTTTGTTAAAGTGATTAAGTAAACGTTGACTATGGTATCAGTTTGCAGGGATTGCGGGTAGTGCACTCTCACAGGGGAGCAAACATGTTCCACTGGCCTCGCGCTGCAGAAGAAAACAGAAGAAAGATTTCCAGAATCAGCAGGCAGATCAGTGCAGGACTCCCACTGATTTTTTTCCTAATTAATAGCATAGAGACTAATTTGGCCAATTAGGGAAGAGTTTCTCCTCTCAGATTATTAGAGGAGTCTCCTGAATCACCGAGGTCGTTATCGTATAAACTGATTATCAGTTTGTGCTGCTCCTTGGAGACTCATGATTGTTTGATAAATATCTGTTCTCACTGAACATCTGCTGCTGGTCTCTGACTCTGCTGTGGACAGAACACCATCAATTTAAAAGAATCAAAATCAAAAAGTCTTTTATCTATGAAGGAGTCATAATTTACAACATCAAAAAGCAGCATCACCAACAGACCGGCAGCAACACTCAGTTCAAACATCTAAAAGGGAGCAGAGCTGACGATAATAATGAAAACTGCATTCATAAAAAGTCAACCAGCCTTTCACTGGACTGTCACATGGAAACACTGAGAACCTCATGTATCCTGTGGACAGTTCAGGATCCCCTCTGCAACCCAGGAAATCCATAAATCCTCTCTGAATGTGTGTGTATGTGCACAGCTGCACAGCGAGCCAAACACATTTCCAGTAAATGATGAAGGCTTTGAATTCATCAACAGACTGCGAAGCTGTAAAAACAACATTAGACCACAGATTTAATTATAGTGAAATCAAGAGAAGATCAGATCCTATAATCAAGAGTCAGACCAGCGGTGCTGGGAGAACTAATTTAGCACAATGAGTGGACACAAAGCCGGATTCATAGATGAAGACCCACAGGTCACTGATGAACGCACTGCAGCTCTGAGAGCCAATCAACACGCAGCGGAGGACCAGAGACCAATGAGATGGAAGAACTCCACTGGGCCGGTGTGTGTGAGTGTCAAAGAGAGTGTGTGTGGCCAAACTGTGGCATTCCAGCCCATCACCACACATTATGTAAGTGCACATCAAAGGCCGCCCTGCGTTGTTCAGTACCAGCGCTGGTGCAGGGGTCAGGCCTTTACTGAGTGCTGGTTTGTGGTTTATGTTTCCCAGCCAATTGTTTAGGTCAGTGCTTCTCTAAACGAGGGTCGGAGGCGGACTTACAGCCATTTTGATTCTTGGTTCGGATGATGAATATGTAACATTGGGAGCTTCAGCTGGCTTGTTGTGCAACATTTGGCACCTGGTTAACAGATGGAACTGCGCGTCCCCGCGGCGACACTGTTGAAAAGTAATATGACTTACGCTTCAGGGGGGTTCAGTCAAATCTGAACACAGACATGACACACGCACACACGCACACACGCACACACACACACACACACACACACTCACACGCACACGCACACACGCACACACAGACCAAACCAGCACTTTACATTTATAATTTTAGAAATTCAAAAGACAACAATTTTGTCACAGTGTTCGTGTTTAAATGTTTTTTCAGTATCTGCTCCGATGTTTGCCCATCCAAGAACATTATATCTCCACCTCATCAGCAGCAGGTGTGTTGGTGAAGACCAGAAAGTCAGCGTCACATGACACCAGTTTAAAAGGCTCCACACTGGATACCTGTCTGCCTTCAAATTGATTTTATGATCCTTTTGTCTTATAAAGCTCTTTGTGCTCTTGGTTCTTCCTGTTTAGAACCCTCGTTCTGCTGGTAGTGGCCTTTTAATTAAACCAACAGTCAGAACAAAAACCCACAGTGAGGCATTCTTCTGTTTTTATACTCAGCGTAGTGTTTTTTTAAAATGCAGGGCTGTCCTTTTTAGTTCGGTGTTGGATTTTATTTACTACATTTTTTATTGTTATTTATTGTTTTCTCTGTTTTTTTTCTATACATTTTGGAATTTCAACCTGTTTTGTCTTTTATCACTTCAGTGTTACGACTGTGTTACTTTGCTGTTCTGAGTTCTGCCCGGTCCTGCCTCACGTGTTTCCTTGTCTGTGTGTATTTGTGACTGGGTTTCACTTGTTGTACTGCATCCTGCATTTACAACATGATGTTTATGGGACAGTGAGGTCAAGCTGCAGGTCAAGTATTGTTTGTCTTTCTTGTGCTTCTGTTAAAAATAAATAAACAAATAACTATACAAAAGCACTCTGACTTGTTTTGGAAAATGAAATGAAAAGTGTTATACTAATGGCTAATTCCACATGACTCTCTAAGATGCAAATGAGTTCAACCTGAAACAAATACCAGCGACACAGGCTGACCGTCTCTACTCCACTCTGTATTTATATTTCAGAAATGTCTTTTAATGATCTCCACAATGTTAATTAACCCAGAGGAACACACGACCGTTCCAGATCGTGTGTGAGGTAATTTCATGTCTGAGATACTGATTCACTTCAGGAATGCATAAAGAAGACCTGAAACAAAGCAGGACGGCTGCCATCTCTCTGCTTCCAGTAATTATCTAACCAGGAGTCACATCGTTAATACAGTAAGACAACAGAGGAGTGAAATGAACACCCTGTTTGTTGTACTTTATGACACAAATAGTTGCTGATGTCATTCTGATGGAACTTGTTAATTATAGATAATGAGATTACTTAATAATCCAGGCACCAAGAAGACTATCCCATTAGAACAAACCCAATAGGTACATAATTCAACATTAATTATTTAGATTCATTTTAAAGAAACACAAGTGGTTAGCATGCTGTTTTTAATGTGTCTGATGGATTTCAGTAATGCAGAAAAGTTTTAGGATTATTATTATCTATTGTTATTATCATATGATGCTGTTTAACGAGCTGCTTTTTTTCATGATGAATGAATGTTTGGTTTGGTTTGGTTAAAACCCCATAAACATGATATAAAATGTGACTTTATCTGACTCTAATAATGTTTAGTCTAGGACTGTGATGTTTTATTCACAAACTGTGGGAACAGGAGAAGGAGAATTGTGAAAGAAAAAACTACACAATCCAGAGATTCTGGGTGGAGCCTCACAAACAGAACATACATACACACACACACACACACACACACACACACACACACACATATTGTTTGTTAACCACACCACCACACCCAGCTCAGTCCAAAGGTGAGCATTCCTGCCTTTAGACCTTACTGACACACCTGCTCAGCTCACACACCAGTTTCCTTGCCTGCCATGTGACTCAGTGTGTATGCGCTGCTCTGCTTTAATGAGAAACTCTTTGACTGTCACACAAACGAGCTAATAGAACTAACACACAGACACACACACCCCCTCTTTCCAGGTCGGCATACTCTCTGACAGAAGAACAAACACTAAATGAACTGACTTCACTGAATCAGTGGAGCTTTTCACTGGTGAGTTCGGCTGTTCAGCTGTGATTGACACTGAGTAACATCCTCCTTAAAGCGCTTTAAAAGACCCAACGCTGCACAAACAATCACCATGCGATGACTCAGTCATAATGAAAAGCTGCTGAGTTATTACTCCTTTGTGCAGAACTTGTATAGGCTAGTTTAGTATTGATTTTAGCAGCAACAGACAGGATGAACTATTGAGCTGGAAACAGCGCTGCTGTACGTACTGACGCTGATGTGACTGAACTGATCGAAGTGATTCCCATCAGCAAAGTCCTTTGTGGTTTCCATCCCTCATGTGTGAGAGAGAGAAAAGAAAAACTATTTGAAAAGACACAAATCAATAGAGACAGAGAAAAGCTCTGACAGCTGATCATCACACACGGGAGATGTAGTATGTGGCTTTTATGGTTTCATTTTGACCATTATTACTTTTAATTTTGAGGTCTGCTGTGTGCTGAGCCAATCAGAGCCTCCATAGGAATGACTGGTGATGGAGATGTGATCGAGCTGTGTTACCGTAACTACACAAAAATTCAGTCAACATGTTTGTAAGGACACGACAGGAGCAGATGTCCACTTGTCCTCGTCAAAAAACAAATGCTCTTTATACTATTAATGAAAGAGTTGCAGACAAATTGAAAATATAAATGACAGAAGCAGTGAGTCGGACCGAACGGCAGAGCTGGATGATGAAGGAACATTCTCTGCACTGTTGACTGTGATCATCTCTACAAACAAGCAGCTCAGACTGAGTCTCTGCATGAAAACTGGCTCTGATGTGACAAACTGCAGGTCTGATCGAACCGTCTTTGGTCAACATGCATCAGATGATCCTCCTGAACCTGTTTACACATCACACACATGCAGCACACAAACCTTACACACAGATTATTGATTATGAAAGATTTCCACCTACTTGGGCTGCATGATATTGGAAAAAAATGATGTTTTATAAATATTTATACATAAAAAGTGGAAAAAAGCTGTTTGGAAGCTTTCTCATATGGTGAAACATGAAAGACATCTGAAGTAGTTTTGTGCTTTGGATGTCATTCAGATCCGTCTCGTCATCCAGAGCTTCGTGCTGTTGATTTAAATGGTCAAACTAATTAGCTGAGTTGCCTCGTGTGGTGGTAACTGCACACACTGCTGACAGAGAACCTAATTTCCTTTTTGCAACCAAATCTTCCTTTCCAGTGTTTCTCTCCTTTCCTTCGCTCGTGGAACCAGCATGTCAACAACCTGTGTCTATATATAAAGACATGATAACAGTGTGAGTTTTCTTTTTGGATCAATGAGCAAAAAACAACTGGAGGGACAGTTAGCTAAAACTAATGCAACACCTGCAATAAATCCTTCTTTACAAAGGCTATAATGACCAGCTTTTGGTAATTTTGGAGGTGGGACTTTGTGGTGCTGTATTACATTTTTTACTTGCTGTCTTGATTTATATCGATGCCAAAAACAGACCGATTTCTGAAACCTGGTTAATAATAACTTAACTGTTAACTATTCTGTCTACAACACAGAGGACAAAAACTAAAGAGGCGTAACTGGAACTTAACTTTTGAAATGAATTCTGTGCCTGATGAGTGAAATGAAGCCACACTGAGTCCACCAACTCATCCACAAAGAGAACAGAAGTAAAGTCATGAGACACTGAAGCGATCTATAGATGACAGACA